CATTGGAAGCATTGTAAGAGAAATGATGCAGACTGATCTTTATTGCTGAAGTCATCTGAAAGGTTACACTTTATTAGAAGCCGTGTTGCCAGCAGCAGAACAGAGGTGTTGGCATTTACACGCTGGCCTGTAGAAACAGAAGTGATATCTGCTTTTTCTAAAAACTGGTGATTACCTGGTTTCTCTGTGGAAACCTGTGACGTGACACATGGTTCCATTTTACAGGCATTCTTTAATTTCCTTCATTCGCTTCACTGTTTTCGAGAGAAAGCTGAACTTGGACACGACAATTTCCCTTGAGAGCTCTCAAAAGGGACCCAGTGAAAACCCTGTGTTTCAGCTTAGCACTGTAAATGTGATAATTGACAGGTGCCTAGCACATACTTGACAGTAACTTAATCCCATAATGCTCAGACGAGCATTTACAAGGTGGTGGTAGCATGTCATTTGGAGGAAGTTTGGTCCTGGTGCTTTCCCTATTCACTGATGTTCTAGCCCAGGTGAGATGGGGGCCGTTTACCAGATCTTGCCTAGCAGAGCTCTCCTCTCTCCATGTGTCTTCAAAGAAAATGAAGTGTGATCTGAGGGTCTTCTGCAGTTTTCTATTTAGAAAGAACATGTTCTAAGAGACTAGTTTACAGAGCAAGGTAGAATCAGCTCCTTGGTGTGGAAGGGCTATTGATAAACCAGTGCTTGTTATTATTAATTTTAATATTTATTAAATATGAATGTGTTAGCAACCAAGTAGTAAATATTAATTTATTAAACATTAATTAATATTCATAAAGCCAGGCATTGTTCCCATGATGGAAGTACTGGAACTGGTGATCTTGTTTTCAAAAATGTTATCTTTAACAGTTTCTTTCAGTCTGGGCTTGGCTAATAACTGCGACAAACCTTTAGAAAGGGTACACTGTGGAAGAACAATCAGATATTTTTTTTCTTTTTAGCTCTGAATTCTGTCAGTCTCCTCATGAAAGAAGGTCCAAACTTCCTGTCTAGAAAGCAAGCTTGGGGTACTTAAAACTCAATCTGCTGCCTTTAGCAAAAGGACAGTGTGAAGGCAGAGTGACCTGTGGTGCCAAGAGCAGCAGTGTGCAGCAGGGTTGTGGCTGTCCTGCAGAGCATGACAGGCATTTTCATCAACTCCTTTACTTTTCTTGAATGCCAGTCAGCAAAAGCCCATTGGTAGCTGTGGAGGCTAGTATCAAATCCTTAAGATGACTTACTGATTAGCGTGCTGAGATTTAGTTTTTCTTCCATGGACGTAAGGATTAAGGAAGGTAAAAAGTAATTTACTTCTTTATATAGGAAGGTGACGTTTCAATGTACCTCATAGCAGAGCCATGTGTGTTTTCTGTAATGGAAAATGGCTTTTCCATTATCTTAAAGGAAACTTCCATTGTTCAGACAGACTTAAAGTAGACTTACTGACTGTTTGGCCCATCTTAATTTTGCAATCCGTTAAATTGGCTGTTCTACAGCAGGGAGTGAGAAATCCCCAAAAGACAGAATTCTACTGGAAGCCATCTTAAGAGGGTGGGAAGAAAACAGGTATTGAAAGATAACGGTTCTTGGCCAGGACATACCATGTCCTCATGGACTTGAGTACTCAAACTAACAGCGTACCTTACATTTTCTAGGCTTCCTTGGCAGAAACAGATAAAATTACCTTGGAGGTTGCCAAGCTGATAAAAGACGACTTCTTGCAACAGAATGGTTATACGCCTTACGACAGGTGAGATCTGACCGGCCACTCTGCGCTCTTGGTACTGTGTAGTCTGGATTTAGACAGCTACTTTTTTTGGAAACAGATCAGTGCAGAAATTAATTTTACTCACCATAAACAAAGGGAAGAACTGTGCTTAGGTAGGCCATCGAACAGTGTATTCGCGTTGCCTCACCCAAGGCATGCAGACCTTTTCCAAATGCAGTCACACCCTTTGAGTTTCTCAGGCCCTCATCTATTGTTCAGTAAGCCAATAATTCTGCAACAGCATGTCCTCCTGTCCTCCTCAGGAGGAGGGAACAACTTTTATTTTCACAGTCAACACCCAAAGTCTTCCTGTTTATTCTAGCAATGCATGGGGGACTGCAAGAAGCTGCTTTCAGTTACTGTTGCATAATTCTTGAGTAAGTTTGATGCATCAAAAAAACCTTACTGGACCTTTTCCCTAGTGCAATGCTTGTTATCCCTGTCTGCTTTGCTTCTTTCCATGCTATCCTGGTGTTTTAACAGCCTGACAAGGGGCCTTTTGTATTTCATCTCACTCCCTAGCCCAGGTAGATCAGGGGGTCTTGAAATACTTCATCACTAAAAAATGTAAAGGTGTGTGCCTTTGATTAGGTTACTAGGGCAGGTGTGTTTATATGCATTAGGGAAGGCACAGGAAGTAGCATGATGTAGTGCATAAATGATAGCGAGGTACCTTCCATGGCAGTCATCTACCCCTTAAAAATGGAGCTTTTTGTGTGTGGAGTGCTCTTGTCATAGAAACACTCCCTGTCCTGTGAGCAAAGAAACTTGCAGAGCCATCCGGTCATCCCAGGCTGCTTGGAGGAAGCCTGCTCCTATGATGGACAAAACAGGGAGGAGGAATTCTGTTGGCTGCTCTGGTGTTTTCCCTTTCTCGTTAGTATTGGCACAGATTGAAACGTGAGACTTGTACAGCGATGGTTCCTGTTGTCTCCTGGTTTGCCCAGTGTTTGGGTGCTGCTTCAGAAACCTCACTTCAGGATGGTTCCCTTAGGTCCCACGTTTTTAAAATAGGTGAATCATGGGCTATTAGAGGCAGCCTCTCTCCTTTGACATTATGTATCAAAAATACCTGGAGTAAAGCAGGCTAGCGCTCTTTCTTTCTGGTGAGAATTCAGAGCTGTTGTGAAGGCACGAGCAAAGGTTCCTCCTGTTAACTGTTCCAAGATGCCTGACAGATCCTTTTCTGTTCCATCAGGTTCTGCCCTTTCTATAAAACAGTGGGAATGCTTTCCAATATGATTGCATTTTATGACATGGCACGCCGTGCCGTAGAAACCACAGCCCAGAGCGACAACAAGATCACGTGGTCCATCATCCGAGAGAACATGAGCGAAATCCTCTACAGACTTACCTCCATGAAATTCAAGGTATGTTTGTAAGGAACTGGGTTGCACTGCTTTTTGTGAGCTTCCAGCGCCTCTGAAAGGCTGATACTCGGAGGTGAGGTGGTCATCAGTTGCCTTAGATAAGGGTCTATGAACAGAGACTTTTTGCAATCCCTTTAAATACTCTTAAGAACTGGTTTTAGTTTGCGAGCACAGGAGTGGTCAGTACAGAAATCTAGTCAGGCGATACTGGCTGCGGAGCCCTGGCAACTCCACCTTCAGCAGTCTCTTTTATGTAATATAATTTTATTTACTATTCATGGTAATAGTACAAGCACCTTTCCTGTTTGTTTTGGGGGTTTTGTGATAAAATTCTGAAAAAAAAAAAAAAAAGATAATGTTCTAAAGAGACTATTAGCAGATAAAAGCAACCTAAAGTTTAAATCCAGGAATGTGCTAAAAAGCAAATGAGAGAAATGTTGATCAAGCTATTTTAAACAGAAGGAAAGAAATGTCAGACTCCTGCAGTAATACACAATATCCCCTGTGTTTGGCTTCAGGGCCCAAGGCAGGTAACTAGGAGGAGGGGAAGGGAGGAGTAACTTCAGCATAGGCTAAAGAGAAAACAAGTGGCTCAGAGCATCTCCTCTGGGTAACTCCAGTAGCCACCATCTTGCAGTACAGCTCTCCTAAAACTCATCCGGAGCATGCTGGTGGAGCAGTTACTGGTAGGACAGTAACCTGTGATGCTGGCTGATGTTGAAGTAGCTAGGGAATATTCTCGATGAAGTATGATGCTTATTCTGTTATAACTCTTCTAAACCAATATTGCAAATCTTTCAAGAATAAGTACCGTAAGATAAAATTACATTTAAAATTAAGTGTTCTGGCATGCCAAGGTATTTTGTTCCTGCAGGGTACTGGCTTGTTTCTGCAGTAAGCAGATCCCTGGTATACATTCTCAAAGCATCAAGAACCTAACAAGATACACTTGGGGACATGAGCTTCTTTCAGAGCTGGTTATATAGAGATAGGGAAAGTAATACACTTTTTACAAACCCTGGCCACCAGAAGACATCTGGCACACAGTAGAGCGGTGGACAGCATGGCTGAAAAAGGGAATCCAGAGGGTGAATGCATGTTAAGTGGAGCCAGCCCTCTCATACAATAAGAGTTATGAGAGGAAAATTATATTTCCTGGGCAACAGTCTAAAAGGCGTGAGAATTTCCCGCATCCTGCGGTCTATGTACATTGGGGAGACAACGAAGAAGTAGTGCAAGCACACGTGTAACTCCTCTGTGTTTCCCAAGAGCTGCCCTAACCCAGAGAGATGTAGCACTGAGAGGGGAATGGTGGAGATGTTGAACAGGTTTCACAGCCTGGCAGTTAATGCTCCTTGCAGGGAAGGCCTTGCTGCCTCAGAGCAAAGCTGATGGTTACATTTTTTTGCCCTTGTCTTTCATGAAAAGTGTTCTGAGAAAATGCAGCTGTACAGAGATGGTTTTGAGCTGCTCATGACTGTACAATAAGGTTTTAATTGGAACCGAGTGACCTCTGAGTGATGGCAAAGTAACTCTTGCACTTATAGGGGAGGCACCCCAAAAAGTACAGCAGAGCATTTCTGAGTCACAAAGACACTTACTCTGGTTTGGGGATAGGAGCTGGTATTAATCACTGCAGCTCTTGAATCACACAGCATGAACTAAGACCCCTCAGTGTTACTGAATCCTCTCCAAGTCAGTTGCTTTTCAATAAAGTACCCGCTGCTCGCAAAAAAGAGAATTCTCTGTCCCGTATCTGTTCTGCCTGCTCACTGAACGTGGGAAGAGGATGAGATTTAAACCTTGTGGCTGTTGGTGAGACAGACAGGAGGCAGAGATGGAGCTATAATACCTGCTCTGCAGTTAGCAGGCGTGAATCCCGAGGTCGGGAAATGACAGCAGGGGCAAAGCAGGGTTGTTGTTAAGTACCGGAGGCTTTTCCTGACGGATCTGTTAATTTGCTGTGTTATTTTTCAGGACCCCGTCAAGGACGGTGAAACAAAAATCAAGGCGGACTATGCTCAGCTGTTTGAGGACATGCAGAACGCATTTCGCAGTCTGGAAGACTAGACTCTGCCTCTGTGACCGCTCCAGTTTGTCCTCTCAATTCCTCATCTCAACTCCTCTGCTTCCCTACCTTACAAGAATGATGCAACAGTACTTGAGTTGATAAATAGCCCTATGTTTTCCCTGTTCGTACCCGGAGAGCGTCCTTACAAAACATTCCTCTTAGTTTGTGTTTGGCATTGCTTTGTGTGTCTGAAGTGGTGAGTGATGTGTGAGTGGGCCTGGCTGAGTGAGGAAATGCTGTTGTACACTTCTAGGGTGGGAAAAATTTCACCTTGCCTCTCCCAGCTCTCTTGGTCACCCATCTTTCACCTTGGGATGTAACCAGTTGAGCTGTACTGGCAGAGGAGGTGTAGATCTTTAATGCAGTCACACGGTACGTTCTGAGCTGGCAGTGGTAAGGGCATTTACATCTGGCACTTTGCTAAGTGACTATCATGACCTGGAACTCCCTGTTCTTTGAGGTTTTGACCATATTCTGATGACATGTTGATTCAACCAAAAATTCTTTGCTGCTCTGTCCCTTCTGCAACCCTCAGCTGAGTCTGTTGGTATTGAAATGTGGTAGTTCTGGATCTCTCCAAGAAGGGACGAACTAGAAGATGAGCACGTACAAGCAGCCAGTGTACCTTTGTACGCTGGAGAAACAGAATTTTATTTTCCTACTTAATACAGATAGGACTGCTGGACTTGGCATCAGCTGGAATCAAAGCCATAGGTGCTCAGCTTCCAGCAGAATTTTACCTTCTTGCCTCCCGCTCGCCCCATAAAATTTCACAACGCTCAGCTGCTTTAGTCTGTGAAGCTTGACTGCTGCTGTGTACTGCAGGACATGCATAGCAAGTTGCGGTGATGCCACCTGTGTGGACCAGGCGTACAGCCCTTCCTCGGCGGTGCTCTGTCTGCCAGCGCAGTTGCCTCCTAGTGCAGTGCCCAGGTCACGCTAAGGGGAGGAAAGCACGTGCTTCACCTTCCTCCTCCACCTGTGCTCACGTGGCCCATTCGGTGGTGGCACAGAAGGTCCCCAGTTCTCCTGTAGGAGGAACATACGATGCTACACTTCTGGGGGCAGGGGATGAACGGGGGGAAGGTTGACAAGTACAGAACTTCTTTACTCCTGCCTTGTTGACTGCGACACAAGAGAAAACCAGTGACTCTGGTCTTCTGCTCTATGCTCTAACCAGTGACTCTGGTCTTCTGCTCTGTGCTCTGGAGGCACTGTCAAGTAGCCAAAACTGCTGTGTCTTGGGCTTGCTTATTGGCAAAACTAGTATGGGATGAGGAATGAGCATAGAGCAGCCTTTCTGTCAAAACTCCAAGAGCCCAGCACTCATAACCACTACTGCAGTGAGAGAGAAAAATGCTGGCACCCCCTCCCGTTTCTGCCTCTCGCTTGTGTCAGGTGGCATCCAGCACCGCTGTTGTGCAGTGCTCCGTGCCCAGCTGGATCCCAGCTGATGCCTGCCGCTTTGTTACGGTCAAGTAACCCTTGTAGGTGCCACCATGGCAGTGGCGTGGCTGTGTAAGTGTTCGTTCTGCACCGAAGTATTTCTGCCGGCCACCAGCTTTGAACAGTAGTGATGCAAAGGGATCTCGCGCTACGGACCAAATGCTGCCCGCTTCCATTAGGGTATCAACTCGCTGTTTGTCAGGGAGAGCCCAGCTGAAACTTAAGAGGGATTAACTATTTTTGGTTCTCCCAAAAGAAACTACTCCTCCAGCTGATATTCTGGCAGTGAATGGTTAAGTTTACAGCTCACTAAACTTTCAGTGTATGCTGCTTATTTTACCAATGAGCATGTGTGAATGAGTAGTCACTGTCCAAGCCCTTGCTGGATTCCTCATCGTTCGTACCCTTCACCACTGTACTATGTAGCATTTCATGCTAGAAACCAGATGTTCTTATCTCTTTAAATAGAGGATGTTATAAACTTTACAGAAGATGTCTAAGATAATGCAGTTCTAATATTTATTGTGCTGTACCTGGCCCTGAAGTGTGACCAGTTCAAACAGTTTCATATATATTTTTGTCTTTTTTTTTTTTTTTTTTTTTTTTTTGTTGTTTTGTGTCTGTTTTCAGTGTTGAGATTCTGATGTTCACTGTGTCCTGCAAGTCTTCCCTCCTCAGCTGTGGGAGGAATGAAAAGATGGGCAGAACCCCCACCACTTACTTTATCTTGTATATTTCATAACACATGTTGCTGAAATTGTGTTTAAAAAAAAAAAAATTTAAAAAAAAAAAATTCAAGTCAATGAGAATAAAATGGATTTAAAGTAGATCTTTCTGTCCTTTTTTTCTACTGTTAAACCAAATCTGTGCCACAGTGACGTGCAGTATGCTGTGCTTCCTTAAAATCTTAATTCATTTCGGGGATCTCTTTAAACTTGTAAGCAGCAATGGGGCAGGGACATTTCACCTCAGTTCTCCCATTTCAGTACAGCTTGCATCATCTCCTTGGATGTTACATGAAAGGAAGAGTTATAGCATCGTAAATACTCTTGGGGTAGAGATTTTTTTTTAGGACTACTTTTACTATAATACAAGTATGAAGTATGAACTTGCCTTTCACTGCTAGTAGCTGCCATGCAGGCAGACACGACGTTTGTAATTGCACCATTTCATGGCACTGCGCTAGCCTGCTGCATACCTTACATTGTGGAACATGCCTCCTAAAATCTCAGCTGTGTGTTTCAGACAAACTGATTGGAACTTTGGGATCAGAAGATAAGCAACGGATGAAGTGAGAATATAACTCGCATTCAGGAGTTTTTGTATGTGTTTGACCACTGCATAACACCTCTTTGAAGGAAGCGTTTGCTATTTTATATATATTAGAGATACAGAAAGCTTGAATAGAGATTATGTTCAAGTAATCCCACCACATTGCAAAGGGGTAGAAGTCACAAGCTCGTTCCTGGCAACCACAGGCCAGCCAGCGGTTCCCTGTGGGCATTAAGAAATCCATTGAGAGAAGGGATGAGTTCAGGTTTTGGCAGCTTGGAAGTTACCAACTGGCAGTGTCCTCACTTCATCCACTCGACTTTTGTGAATCTGGAAGGCAGGCGTCACCCAGCGGCCACAGGAACACTGCTCACCCCGCCAGCTGAAGGAGCCTAGCTTCGATGTGCATTTGGGACACAGAAGCTGCAAGAGAAACACAACCCACTCTCAGGCACACGCAGATGTAGTTCTATTTAAAATGTACTTCTATGGTACATCAAATGATGGCCACCTGTCCTGAGCCTTCCCTTCTAATACTTCACAGAAGGTAAAGGGGCTGAAAAACAGGCAAAAAAGCTAAGCTGGCATGGCTGGTGTCAGCCATGCCCTGCGGCGCAGCAGGCAGTGGTGCTGGCAGAAGTGAGGGGGTGGAAACGCATCTGCTCAGACCTGGTGCGGTTCTAGGGCAGTTTTGCCAGGCTCAGGAAAGCCTCAGTCAGCCTGAGACCACAACAGGTTTTGTTAAGTCGCACAAACCCTTTCTCATACTAAAAACAAACAGCAGGTAAACCCTGTCCAATGCCCTGGCTAGCGTTCTCAGTCCAACAAGATCACCAGCTCATTTCCTTATAAAAAGATCTTTAACATTTAAGAATCTGTTCAAAACCTGCAAATTCATGCAAGTAAGGGTGTTCACATCAGGGAACAGAAACAGTTTGTTCTGCCTTTGCAAAAAAAAAAAAAAAAAACCACACAAAAACCCTAACAACCAAAAAATAAAGCGCCTGCTCCCCTTCACCTGTCCTTCCATTACTCCAAGCAACGCTGGCTCCATCCACTGCACGGGCTCAGTGAAGTAAGAGGTACACTTCTCACGGCCATCGCCACAAAGCTGAGCAGAGTCTGTTATCCTCTTGTGGGCAAAGGCTGTTGGACCGCTTCCTTCCGTGTGGGACAAAATGCTGGAACTACGGAACAGCGCACGCCTGCCCTCCATGACAGAGGGAGGGGAAAAGAAGTAAAATAGTTGGTTGTTTACTGGGGAAACCTACAGATGATAGAAAACCAGAACACGGACCTCTTGGCAGTAAGTAAGTAAGTAAGCAGGATTACAAATCCTACATATTTGCAATTTAGTCTAGAAGGTCAGCAGGTGCTGACTCCGTTCAGGGTTACTTCTTAACAAAATTTGTGTAAGTTTGGGCTCTGCCCCACAGCTGTAGGCTGTCTTTTATATAAATCTATTTTTAAGCAATTCCTGCCTACTAAAACTTTATGCTCATATACTTGAAGAAACCTATACCTAGGAAATAGCAGGATTGTTCAATTTCACTTTAAGCAATCCATAAAAGATCATTAAAATGCGGTAAAATCTACAAGAAGTTTATTCTGGAGAAACTGATTGTCAAAGACAAACTAGAAGGTATGGTTTCAGAGCAAGCAACTTCACAGAGCCAAGCGGAATCAGGCCTGCCTGAAGAACACGGCAGGTTAGGCTGCACAAGTGCCACACAACTTCAAGGAACAAAAGTTTTGTATTTCATAAGATACTTTTATTTATCTAATTTTTCATGAGGTACACTGTATTGAAACTTAGGGAAGAGCTCATCCCTGTCCTGACAATAATGACATGCCCATTGATTTCCACAGGCTATTTTTCTCTTGAGTCAATTTAAAAAATTACATTAATGGAGAAATAAAAAAGGTTCAGTACCTGCATTTCCTGCACCTGTAGAGAACCTCTGTGTTTGGAGTTTGACATATACTGGTTGGATCAACAGCAAAGACTTCTCGGGGCAAGTCCGGAAGCTCTGCAGAAGGGTCGGTACAAAGTTGTGAATCAGATCAACGCAGCCATGCTGCATTTCTGTGGGACAAGACAGCGCTGCGCCTCTGCCCCAGTCACGGCATGCAGAAGCCACCTTCTTCACATTCATCCGCCCCCTCACCAATTCCATTAGATAAGCTGAAAATGCAAGACCCTCATCCTGGCACACCTAAGATCGGGATTCACTTAATGCAAGGAACTGTGATCTAGACGTTGGCCTTAGCCAAAATTGTTGCATTTTTCTTTATGTTTTTACTTAAACAGAAAGTAAAGGTGGCGGAGGAGTTAGAACAGTTCTGCCAATCTTTTAGTGCACATAAAGCCAGCTCACGAATGGGGACCGCTAAGGAGAAGGACACATAAATGGAGAGAGCACTGTCATGCTGCATATGCAACGGTGAGATCTTGCAAAACAGCTATGGATTATTATTTTATTATAAAATTTCACATACGCATACATATCTACTACAGTCAACCTTTCGCAAATTAAAGTATGAAAGTTTACTTCACGCCTTGATTTCAACTTTATCTCAGTTTTCCATTTGTTATTTTTATTATTTTTTAATTCCATTGACTTCTTTTTAGAGGATGTTAAGTTTGCCTAGCTGGGTACACACAAATCAGAAAACATATCAAATTGACCTTCATAGAATCACAGAATCATAGAATCCTAGGTTGGAGGGAACCTCAAGGATCACCTGGTCCAACCTTTCTAGGCAAGAGCACAGTCTAGACAAGGTGGCCTAGAAACCCTGTCCAGCTGAGCCTTAAAAGTGTCCAATGTGGCAGCGTCAACCACTTCCCCGGGGACATTATTCCAATGGCTGACTGTTCTCATTGTGAAAAATTTCCCTCTCATGTCCAAGCAGAATCTCCCCACGAGCAACTTATAGCCAATTCCTCCTTGTCCTCTCCATGTGACTCCTTGTAAAAAGGGAGTCTCCATCTTCTTTGTAACTACCCCTTAGCTACTGGTACGTGGTGATGAGATCCCCTCTAAGCCTCCTTTGCTCAAGGCTGAACAAACCCAGTTCTCTCAGCCTATCTTTGCATGGCAGGCTTCTCAGTCCTTTGGTCATCTTGGTGGCCCTTCTCTGGACCCCCTCCAGCCTGTCCACATCTTTTTTGTATAGTAGGGACCAGAACGGTACACAGCATTCCAGGTGTGGCCTGACAAGCACTGAGTAGAATGGGATAATGACTTCTTTGTCTCTGATGGTGATGCCCTTCTTGATGCAACCCAGCATCCTATTGGCCTTCTTGGCTGCAGCAGCACACTGCTCACTCATATTGAGCTTAATAATTTCTGAATTTTGCTAAACAGAACAGTTCCTTATGGATCTTATTTCTCAGGCATGTCTGAAAGACACTGTTTTCCCCACTGATGAGCTACAGTTCTCTAGAACCAGTACGATGCAAACATTTGCCTGGCCAACTCAAGGCTCAGCTGCTTTGAGGGCAATACTCAAAGTCAACCAACCACCTCTGACGTGGCCTTCTGTGTTCATTCCAGGACAGACTGGTCCCACCTGCGACCCACCCTCCCTGGGAGACTGCCCCAAGCTTCCGCCCCAGCTCAAGGCCACTCACCGGGGTACCGCTCCGTCAGCATCTGCAGCCT